GAACTTGTTGAGACACAGGTAAATCTAAGAAGGAGTAGAAAGCGCCTTACCCCCTGTTGGTATTGGTTCCCGCCCATCCTCGAGTGCAAGCTCGGGCAGCGATACCACTCCAGATGCGAGATCTATAGGGCATGATGGGAACTTTGACGGGATTCTGGGATACATGGATGAGGAGGTGATTGCTGATTGGTTGATGAGGACTAATGTGATGGTGGAGGAGCTCTCTGATTGGTGTCGCCATGGTGACAACTTTGTCCGGTTTGCCCACTTCTGGCTGAGCGGGATCCCGCCAGCACAGCGTGCCCAACTGATTGGGATGGAGGTCGGGATCGTGCGTGACGAGATGGAACGCGCGTTCAGGTTGGGACGGGAAAGCGGGGAGGTCACATCGCTGTCGCTCCGCAAACTCCTCTCCGCAGTCCTTAGGGAGTACCCGACGAAGCTTCTCACATCAAAAGGACCCCACATCTTCCTCGAGAAGCTGGACATCCTGACATCAGGACGGAGTGAGCAGTATCGCGCAACCCTGACAGACGTGAAAGTTCGAACACGGAACAAACAGTTCGTCCAGTGGGTCCTGGCTTTGAGGGCGTTTGCCTTGCTTAGTGTCTGGCACGCTGCAGTCAGCTTCTACAGAACAATCACGTGCCAGGGAGCACAAGGGGGCCTCGCTAAAGAACAGGACCTATCAGGCACTGCTACCACGGACAGCCTGGAGGAGCGGTGTGTGCAGGCAGTGCAGAGTGGCAGCGTGGACGTCCTGCATTACCTAGTGAAGGTGAAGAAGGCAGACTTGGGAGTGAGGGATGGGGAGAACAGGACCCTGGTGTTCATCGCTGTGACTCACAACCAACCCAAGGTGCTGACCTACCTGCTTACCAAGGTGGGAAAAACAAATATCCTACTAGTTTCACAACAGAAAATCTACACACTTACTACCAGTAGTAGGCAACAGTTAGGAGAGCTCACTTAGCCTTTGCCATTGGTGTTGTCATCTTGGTGGTGTATTTCACTTATATAAAAAGTGCACAGTTTGAAGAGATCATCTATCTCACAATGGTGAATGCATTGTAACATCATAAAGTCAAAAATTCAAAGTTGATGGTGTTAGGAGGCTTAATACTATAGATTTAGAAAAAAATATGCCTCAATCACATTGCAGATCACTAGTTCAGTTTGCTAAGATACAGTAATCCTGTATTAGACTTTGATGGATTTTCACAAATGCACATACCTGTTACCTGTAGGTTCACCCCAGGCCCGACATCAACCTCCCATCATGCACTGGGAACACCCCACTCCACGCAGCTGTGAATGCTGGGAATGTAGAGCTGGTGAAGACCCTGGTAAAGGCCGGGGCCGAGGTGAACGCAGCCAACCCACAGTGCGACAGCGCCACCCCTCTTCACCTAGCAGTACTGCATGGTAAGGCAACATGTTGCACTGTGTACGCAGCAGCTTATCTATCTAGATATGTATTTGAAGGTGTATCATCATTTTTGATGTCACCTTACTATTCAACTCACACTGCAATGTTTCTTATCCATTTCCCCAGGTAATAAGGAGACGTGCCAGGTGCTGTTGTCTGCAGGTGCGCAGGTGACAGCGGAGATGGGCAGACAGACAGCTGCACAGCTGGCAGCAGACCTGGGGCACCTGGAGCTACTACAGCTGCTACAAACCAACACAGATGCGCCTATGCAAACTTGACTGTACCAATACTGGTTGTCTTTACCTTCTCCCTGCAAATAGGTGTACAGTATCTGCATTTGGCACAAAATGTACATGTGTTACCCCCATAGTCCTGAGGCAAGGTAGGAGGGACATGCTCAAGGTTGTGAAAGGACTAGTACGTTTGAACTGTAAGGCACAATGTTTTGTTATCTGCACACTTGTCAATCATAGGTTTGTAGGGATGCCTTGTTGGGATTATCTCACTTCTGGTTTAAGTGTCATATTTTCATAGATGATCATAGGCAGCAGTTGCAGTACAGAGTTCAACTTCTCTTTGCCTGTTAGATTTTAAACTAAAAGTGTTGTTGAAAAGAAAGCTGCAAATTATGAAGCACTTTTAAATCTTACAAAAAATACCTAGCTCACCAACAACTCCACATTATCTCCAAATCCATATTTAAATCAAATAGAAAAAAAATTCAAACATGGGAAATGTGAATCTTTACAACTCCAAAGCTAACCAAAAATTGTGCAAACTTTGAAAATAATGAAGACTTCAAAGTTTACAGTATCAATTTGTATGTTATCAAAATGTATACAAACAGTGCATTGGCAAAAAAGTCTCAATAGCAAATGTTAATGTAAACACTTTCCTGTTATGTTCATGCATGAATGTGCATCTGTGAATGCTGCATCTTAACATTCTTCATGCTTAGCTCATTTCCAACCAAAACAAAGAAGCATGTAGTGTTATCTGTCACACAATAGTCCAGTCTTTCTAAGAAGTCACTGTTTGCCATCCAATATTGAACTTAAGGGCTCTAAAACCACAAATACTCAATGTGATTTTTGTGTATTTATAATGATTTGGCCTGGCAATCTTATTTAAAGATGTTTGCAACTCATTGATTAGTATAAATTGATGTGAGGAATGAGACCAAAGCACACGGAAGTTACATCTTTGTTGTTGCTTTTATTGTAATTCAGGGCTATCTTCTCTATTCATTGCCTTAGAAACAGGATGCAGAGATGACATTCATGTTACTTAAGTCACTCTTCAAGAAGACAATGTAAGACATTAGAACAGAAGGAATATGCAATTTATAATACGAGCAAGCTTAGATACTGAATAGAGTTATCATATTGACTAAAGTTGTGTTGAATTTTTGCACTGCAATGCATGGTTTGCTATTATGAAGGTTCTCTTAATAAATGAGTTCTGGGAACTCTTGTCTCAATCAATGTTTCAAGTGTTTTCTTATACATATATATTGAGATAATGACTGAGGAATTACCCCTGTTGTGCTTTTGTGAAGTGTCTAATTCCAATACAGATTTGTTGAAGGTGTAGAAGGAAAGGATAGATAATCTAGTCTTAGTTCACAGGCAGTTATCTGGTCCACTGGTTGAAAGGAAAAGGACAGCTGTTCTGTACAGTATTTACAAGTTCTACATGTAGGTACCATAGACATGCCATGGCTGTTGTTGACAAGTTTAATGAACATTAGACCTCACTCATTAGATAACATAATGTCCTGTCCCAAATACTGACACTCTTTAAGCGTATAGAATACCAACGGGGTAAAAAGCAATGGACCTGGTAGTTCATGAGCTGGATTGCTAACCACTGCATAATAAACTATATATGTTTGATACAACATAATGACTCACAGCCTTCTGGTCCAGATACAGTGGGCAGGGTCCTGTACTACCGGGTATACATAGCACAACTACAATATGTGAGACTGTACTCATTCAGTTATAATTGTCTTATGATGTCTCTCCCAATGACTGCAACTCTAACGTACATAACGTTCAAGCAGGATTTCAACTCCTGACCAGATGCAGGCTCGGGCCAGTATCCACACAGTAACTGTGCTACATACCGGTACTATAAACCACTTTGTGACACATCGTATACATGAATTATGCACATGTGATCTTCATCCATGTGATGGTCATCATTAAAGTCCAGGCATGATGTAGGCCACGTTGTCGAGCGTTCTCTCGTGGACCTCCTGCGGACATCCGTTCATCTCGGGAACCTGTCGTGTCAGGGAGAGCAGCGGTCCGAGCGCGCAGACCATGGAGTCCAGCAGGACAGACAGGCCGCCATGGATGGCGATGTGGCCCTCCGTCTCGTGCAGTCTCTGCCCAACCTGTCGGGGTAGTGTTAAAGAGAGGAGTCTAACTTAAAAACTGTACAACAAGTGTTAGTGACTGGCTGGTTTTAAGCCCCAGCAATTTGTGATGTATCTACTCTGTGGTAGATTCTCAAACATTTTTTTTTTCTTCAAACTGGAAGGGGAAAAAAAGACTACTAATTTCTTGCGGTCTGTTTCAAGAAACTGGTAAGAATGAGCACTGTTGAAAAATTGTTGTCAAATTAATGTTTGTAAACACTGGGCACAGACAGATAATATGTAGTGTTGTTAGTTGCTCGTTTATGAAGGAATGACCAGGCTGAGAGGCTCCCCCAAAAGTTCGAGGTGTAGTTAGTTAATGACATAACTGACCAGGCTGAGAGACTCCCCCAGGAGTTTGAGGTGAGCGGCCACGTCAATGGGGTTGGTGCCGGGTACAGGAGTCTTTACTGGGCTCATGACAGGCTCAGGGCTGACAGCACCGCCTCGTAACGGGGACAGGGCTGTCACCTGGGGTAACATACAAACAACAATATCACCTAGGACCAACAAACAAGTAAACAAAAAACAAATAAAAGAGGAAGAACTGTCATGGTAGGTCATTGTAAAAGATTATCACAGATACAGTGCCATTTAAATGGGCAGTCATCTGTGCTCTCTTTTTTTCTGCACTCAAATAATGGTCTTAGTAGTCTATGTAAGCTTACTAGTATGGCGCAACATAAAATGTGCATGATGGTATTGACACACCAAACAAACACAAATTACCAACAAGGCCAGCTTCCTTCCCAAATCTACAATGTATGTATGCAGAAGAGGCCAACTTTTAAAAAACCTGACAATCAATCATTTCATTAGTTTGATCCAACAATTGATAAGCTGACACTTTGACTCAGAAATTTGAGTAAGACATCTAAGATCTACTGTCTGCACACCTTTCTCTTGACTGTCGTGGCGGCTGCTTTCTTCTGCTTGTGCTCCAGAGTCAGCCTCTTGCTCCTCCAGATCATCTTCTCCTTCTCCGGCAGCTGCTGCCACATCTCGCCCAGCTTCTTACTGATGGAGGAGAAGTCTATCCCAGGGTTGGCCTCCACCACCTTCTGTCTCTGGTGCTTACTCCACAGCATGTAGGCTGTCATCACCTGAACAGGTACAGTTTGATGATGTTCATTACAAGACCATATTCACCATAAACACTAAACCTTCTCCCAGTGTCTTACTGAGGGAACAGAAATCCATCTCAAAGTTGGCCTCAATTCATGTTGTCCCCAAGCACAATTGCAAACAAATACTGATAAGAACATGCCCTTCTTACATCTATATTACAGTCATCTACACAGGCACAGAAAAAGTGCACACCTTCTTCCTTGGCTTCTTCTCCTCTTTTGGAGTCTTCTCTTTCTTTTTCTTCTCCTTCTTTTCTTTCTTCTCCTTCTTCTGTTTCTGTCTGCTCTCTCCAGGACTTGCCAAGGCGCTGTCTGACTGGCTGGAGACTTCAGTGTCGTCCACAGCGTAAGGAGGAAACTCAAATGGCTGTGGCTCCTGATGTTCCTCCAACTCTGGCACACCTCCGGAGTACACAGGCTCCTCCTTTTTAGGACCAGAACCTAGAGATACATGTACGTGAATAGTTAAGAATGTTGACAACAGCAGTCACTGCAACAGGTATAACCCTAGATAGTAAGAGTTTGTGTTACACTTAAGTACTGTAGAATGATACTAATAATCACTACTTTTAGATGTAGTAATTTATAATTGATTCTGGTCCCATTTGTCCAGCAGTTGAACCATTAAGACAGTGGCTTCATGCCAGATGTATGTCGTACATTTCTACATTTCTGTTTTGCTTTTCTATGCTTTGATGCTATTGCATGGGCCTACAAGGCATTCAGACAAATAACATGACTTCTAATTTGAAGCATTTACCTCCCAGTTTGAGAGTAATCTTCATCTTGTCCTTGGCTCCTGTCTCCTCTGCATCTCCCATCCCCATCCCGTAGTTACTAAACTGTGGCAGTGAGAATGGAGGTGAACCCCCGACACCAACATAAGATTCGTCCATGGAAGAGTCAAACGACAACTCTTCTGCCGACTTGTGCTTTTCCTTCTTCTTCTTCTTGTCCTTCTTCTTGGACTTCCCGTCTTCACTGGAAGCACTGTGTTCCTTAGACTTGCTTTTCTTGTCCTTCTTGTGGCTCGATTCTTCCTTATCCTTCTTGTGACTTCCTGAAGACTTCTTGCTCTTTGTCTCCTTCTCCTCGCTGCTCCCCACCCCTCGCTCCTTGGGAGACAGGATGAGCTTGAGTTTGATTCCTTCCATCTCCTCCACATGCACGTCTGACTCGTCAGGGGAGTGAAGCTGATCCTCCTCCTTCGAGCTGTGAGATTTCTTTGACTTCTTCTCCTTGTCGTGCTTGTGGTGGTGGTGTGAGCCCTTGCTGTGTTTCTTTGGCGCGGGGTCGGACATCTCCGAAGTGTCGATGTACAGCGGCTCCAGCTTGCTCTTCTTGTGCTTCCCCTTGTCTTTCTTGTGGGAGGACACGGGTGCGGGGATGTTGCTGAGGTACGGGGGTGGATCTGGGCTGAAGTGAGGCTGAGGAGCTCCAAGGCTGTGTACTTCCTGTTTCTTGGACTTGGATGATGAGGACTTTTGTGGACTCTGAAAAACAGTTCAAATATGATGTGTTGGGTTACCGGTGTACCCTTTACATGCATAGTTGCTATCTTTGAGACAGTAACCTCTTCTTCTTCTTTCGTACTGCACCCTTACGTGCTTTATTAGGAGATTGGGCATATGTCAATAAACAAGTGTAAATGTAGGGAAAGCACAATATATATTCCATGATTTTGTGTCTAGAAAAGACAAGTAAGTTTGATGTTTTGGAACCTTTGGACTTACTACGACTTGTGGCTGGAGTAGAGCCTCCCTGTCCGAGTCTCGGAGCTTGGCAGACTTCTTACGCACGCGGGGAGACCTTCCACTGTCGGCCCAGGCTTCATCCGAGGCCACCAGCAGCGGACCGCCCCCCTCCCCATCATCCGACGACCGGTGGGCCCGCTTCGAACTCGGGGTGTAGTCCCCTTCCAGCTCGTAGTCCTGGTAGCGGGAAGGCTTACGCTTCTGTCCGCGGGCGCTCATGCTTTTCTCCAGGCTCTCTAGACGTTATACATTGAAAGAAAGAGACAGAAATGGTTCGGATTTTTTTAGAAACAAATCGAGCTGCTACTTCTGACCTCTAACCTTTGAGACCAAACCATTCAAATTATATATGAATCAGGGAAGTTTTCTTCAAGCGATTGATAGTAAACAACTAACGTTACTCACTTGTTTACTAGATACAACTTGCCTCATCAAATATTTTGAACATCTTAAATCTGTTTTTACCAATTTAGGAATATTTTGTAAAATATAACGTTAAGTTTCTAATTTACCTCCCCAGATTTCCCCCAAAATCTAGTAGTTTGTCTCTAAGTCTTGATTTTTGATTGGCTGAAATAAGGTGACGTCAGATGTTATGACTGAGGTCAATTTTTTGCTAGATCACGGAAGTGCCGGACTTTTCCATAGCCGCTCTGTGTTACAGCAATTTCCGAGGAGTTTATCAGTTTTTCTCGTCTGATTTTTACTCGGAAAGATGTCAGGAAGTCCCGTTAAGCTGTACGTGTATGACTTGTCTCGGGGCATGGCGAGGAGCATGTCTCTGCCGCTGTTAGGTGAGCTGTCATTCCGCCCCCCTCCCACCCGGTGTCTTCTATGTGGGTATGAGTAAGCTAAAGATGAGATAGCAAAAATTGAGTTTCTACGTTAATCAATGGATATGACGCAAAATTTTGAAGCATATTTTGTAGTTTTGGGGCAAATGATCATTAACGTACTAGCTATATTAGTGTGTGCTTTTTTTCTAGATGTATAAGGATAACATTATAAAAAGCCTTGCAAAAATTATGGTATACGTAAAAGTAATAGTGAGTTAATCACATAATAGCTACATATTAAAGAATGTATTGTGTACTTTAAAAGAGAAAACTACTGATCTCTCTTTTATTTGAACCATCACAGGAAGGCAGATTGATGGCATTTGGTGAGTTAACATCATTCCCTTGTCTTGAAAAACAAACTGTTGAAAACCTTTCTCCAGTGTTGACATCATGTACAGCATACATGTACTCACATAATGTCCTACCTTCCCCATTACAGGCACACAGCGATTGTTGTGTTTGAGGAAGAGTTCTTTTTTGGAGGTGGAGGGATCGAGTCATGCGCTCCGGTAAGGATATTCAGCTTTTGCTCTCTCTATAGAATGTAACATTACATGTAATCCTTCTGTATTTGATATACGGTATAGACGGTATATATATAAGACTGAACTGTAAGGTTTGATCCACTCACACTTGCAGTTAACCTTATTCTTATTGCTAAGTTTGGTGGGGTCTTTATCATTATCATCATCTGTTGTTGACCAATGACATTGCTGTATCCTCCCCCCTCCCCCAGGGTGGTACAATCCTGGGACCTCCAGACTCAGTTCATGACCTTGGGGTAACACAGATCACCCGGGAAATCTTCATGGACTACCTGTCTGAGCTGGGAGCTACCAGTTTCAGGTCAGTACAGGGAGGCTATGCTAGAAAAACCTGCTTACTGTCCTGTGCTATCACTGAACATACTGGTAGAAACTGACATTAATCAAGAGTAGAGAGTAGAGTAGATCTTCAAGAAGGCAGAAAAACAAATACACGTTTACATGCACACACACGCATGCATGTATCCTTACATACACAAATATGTATACCATTCTGTGCACAAATTATAGCTTAAATCTAACTGAAGTTGTTGAATCTTGAATGGAGAAATAAGTTACCAATTTTTTAAGCAAGCTTCGTACCGAAATTTGGTAAGATGAGTGATGGCATTAGATTTTTGTTGTCTTCTTGTATTGCATTAATTAATTGATTGATTGTGTCCTCCTGCTGCAGTGGAGAGACGTACCACCTCCTGCAGCACAACTGTAACAACTTCAGCTCAGAGGTGGCCCAGTTCCTGACAGGGACCGACATCCCCGGGCACATCACCAACCTGCCCAACGAGGTGCTCGCAACGTGAGTCAAACAGCTTCTTCTGTGACTTAATAAAGTGGAGTGGATTCACTCCTCAAGCTAACCGACATCTTTCACACCGTAGTCGTCCTTCAGAAAGACACCTGGAGCCGCGTAGTTCCAGTTTAGAACTTTTATTCAGCCTGTCATCACAACCAGTTTCACCGTGCGGGCTTCTTCCAGTGCACAGAGACTGAGGCTAAATCATAGTACATGTATTATATGACATAATGTCATGAAGTTCTCATTTTCCAACTTGCATATCACTCTGCTACCATGATACCATACAACTCTAAATGTTGAAGATGTGTTGTTTTCTTTCTTTTGAATTATTGTCCCTACAATATTATAATTTAAAAAAAACGTTTGCCAGTTTTTAACTTTCTCTGGTTTTGTTGTTTTTCAGTCCTTTTGGCCAGATGATCCGCCCCATGATAGAGTCGATGTCCGTGAGCCCGGGTGGAGGCCAGCCTGTTGGGGGGCCACCTTCATGGAGGGTGAGGGAACCAGCCAGCAGCTCACCATGGGCTCCGCAGAGCAACTCAGGACAGACCCAGTCATCAGCAAACACACAGTCACAGCCCACTCCACCCAAACACACTGCCAGGAAAGGGGACAGAGATGCTATTGTTCTTAAAGATGTAAAGGTAAAAAACTTTTCAGAACAACAATACCTTAGCCAGGTAATTACGATATTTTTTATTGAAAAGTGTCACCTTTTCCCTTCAACTTCTTTTGTTGCTGTACAGATTGCAGATGCTGCTGCTAGCCTAAGGGAGAAAGTTGTACCCAGCCTTACAGAGGCGGAGAGGAAAAACATGGAACAGTTCTGTGACTTCCTACAGAACCAGAATGGGGTGAAGTTTAATGGAGAAGCAGTCAGAATACTGGGTATGGCAGATGGATTCCAACTAACATATGAAGACTTTGAATAAAGAGACTCTTTTCATGAGAAGAGTTTATCTTATAAGTTATATAGTGAGAGATGTATAGAGAAAAGGGATGCCCAAAACAAGCAAAAGACATGCCAAAGGAAAGGAAACTATACACCTTTTTATAGGCTTGGTTCTTTGAGAGCTCTTTCTGTTTTCTTATATCACCAATGAAAACTATGTATGAAGGTGATGTTGAATTTTAAAAATGTTTTCCTTTTGCAGGAAGGAGTCTTCTGAGTGAAACATTGTCTCAGGAAGCCAAACTCTACGTGGCCCAAACTCTACAGGCTGCAGTGACAAGGCCTGAGGTCCAGGGGGTGCTGTGTAATGCAGACACACACAGTTCTGTTGTACTCTTCCTACACAGATTTGACACCATCCAACCACTGACGCTACAAATTGCTGCTATAAAAATGGTAAATGTAAATGTGTTGGGCTGGGAGAAGGAAGAGTATGACTTAGACCTGGCATTTAGATGTCAGTGTATTGCAGAAGTATTTGACTTTGTGATTGCTCCCCACCTCTACAATGTAGATTATTGGATAAATGATTATAATGATGTCACTTGACAAATGTGATATTTTTTGTGTACACTACATGGAGTTTTAATTGCAAATACAATGTTTTTATCCCCTGTAGTTGTCCAACATCTGCATTGACCAGGGGAGCCATGATTGGCTACTGAGAACCCAGCAGGGACCAACGGGAGGGGAGCAGGTTGTCAATCAACAGGTGGTTGTCAAGGTGACAGTGACAGGGCTGCTGTCAGAGGAGGCAGACCTCAGGAAAAACGCCACAGTGCTGGTGTACAATGTGTGCTTGGGTCAGGTGAGGTGCTTTCTACAGTACATAGAGAGCCCAACGGGGGCCCAAATTACGTTGTAAGTCATTTCTTTGATAGATGAAGACCTACACACCATATCCATCCATAAAAATTTGGGTTATGAGTGAATTTGGTCAGCAAGAGAAGTCTAACCACTCTATCATACAGCCTACTTTGGGTCAGTTTTTGGAGTTCATCAAGCTTTGAAAGGAGTTTGATGAAGACTTCATGTTTTAGGAATGAACCAATGTCGTGCTTGTGTCCTGTTGTTACCCCAGGTGACAGAAGACAGTGCTGTGGAGCTGGCCAGTGCCCTGCTGCAGTGTCTGGGGGAGACCGTACCAGAACCAGAGGGTGAGGAGGGGTGCTAGTGTGCCACTGTGAACAAATGCTTTATTGAAAAGTGGCCATATTGCCAAACAAGTTGTTGAGAATAGACAAAGGCTTTGAATTGAATCACAATCCCCCAGTTTTGTTTATTTTGATACTAGAGTATGATCAAGACTGTTTACAGTAATAATTTTATACATGCCAATAAACTGTGTGAAAGTGTGGCTGTTTGTATTCTAATTATACTTCTATGCTTTTTGTTTCAGCATTTCGAAGCTTGTCCTCTCTGGTACAGTTGATGACATCATTCACTCAGGTAAGCTGTCCTGTACGTTTTCTTCATCACATACAGAAAACACTGTCAAAAAACAAGTCAGAGACACTTGGAGGTTGTAATTGGACAGGACCATCTCATGTTTAAAATGTTTCTTTCTCAGACACATATTGAAAACATACTACAAAATAAGTCAAAGATGCCTGCAGTTTGAAGATATTGGACTAGACCATCTCATGTTTGAAATGTTTCTTTCTCCCCTGCAGGTTAGTGGACTGGCCCAGGCTATTGGTGTGGACCTGAGTCACTACTCCTCTCAGTCTGACAGACTCAAGAACCTCTGTCAGCAGTACCAGCAACTCGTCTCATAGATAGAATACAGTGATAAAGAATGTCATTTCTGTTAAATCATATATCTCTGAGTCTGTTTTAAAAAATCATATTAGAAACCCAAGTCTTTCTGCTGTTTCAGGAAAAATGCAACTAAAATGTATTATTTATATTGTATATTGTACTTGAGAATGAGGAATAAGGTGTCATAAGCCCTGCTGTACTGTGGACCTGTATTTCACAGAAAGTGAGATTTTTACATAACACTGGGCAAGCATAGTCATCGTTAACATGCATGAGGCACATGCAAGCTTTGGCCAGTCTCTGACATGCCCTTGCATTACAAAGTCTTAAGAGTTCTCTTTTTGCCAGCATGCCAAGGGATCCATAACATTGCCTATATGTGCAATATTCCACTGTACATCAATGATCTACATAAATCCAGACAACTTAGACTCCAAGTTTAACAAAAGTGAATGTAAGAAAAGGCAACACCACTATGGATACTTTGGATATGATTCTAATTAAAAAAACTTTTTACATACATCTGCTACCTTCTTTGCTGTTTGTTGTGGTCTTTTCATACAGTATAGAAGTACAGTAATACACATGTTGTGTGTACACATGGCTCTAGAAAGTAAGCTACCCTTGGTAGAAATGACACATTTTACTGAGAACAGTTGTAGTTGGAAAGAAATTTTATTGACAAAATTAAAATAATACTGTTGCTCTATGCTTGACACTGACAGGTCAGGAGCCAAGTGGTAACATTTCTTCTTGTTGCAGTGCATGTACAGAACAGTAATTACTGTGTGGGACACATTATATCCAATATTATGTCCTACCTGGGCCGCGATTACGTTCGATACAGGTGTTCCGGCCCGTGTGATAACTAGCGGTACGGCCCGGGGGTTCTTAACGCGTACGGCCCGGCCCTTCCAAATGTTCCATAGAACGATTCGAACGCGTTTCGGCCCAACCGCGTGCACCGCGTTAGAAAATTTGAATGCAAAATTCGGACGTTGGAATTGATGTTGTTGCACTTTTTGGGTTTAGGGACACCAACTTTCTGCTCATTTTGCATTGAAAGGTGTGTTTTCTTGGGTGGGTATGACATAAATAAAATACAACACGGTGTATTCCGCATCACCCTCGGTTCCAGCCCTCCCGCGGATCGGATCTCCCTCCGGCCGTCGGGCGATCCGACGCGCGGTCAGGCTGGTACCTCGGGCGATACGGAATACCCCGTGTTGTATTCTATATGTATGCTGCAATCATGATCATGTAAATGTTATGCTTTGATTATCACTACTCATAAGTACATGAAAATTGTTTGTATCACTATCTTTACTAGTATCCCAGTCTCCTGGCTAAGCATACATTCATTCATTCACTTCCAGAGCTAAAAGTACATCCCTGCACCTCCCCAAAATCATAAGTATGAAAATGAAAATTAAAAATGAAAGTTTTCTTATTTTTAAACTAACCAATGTTTATGTGATATTGACAGAGATATGAATAAGAAACAGTATGACATGATCAAGTGGCCATAGTTTGATCAATCCAACAATTCCCTCTCAAAATCATAACTACTAGTTGGATGTTTCCTCTTCTTTGGTTTTCTGCCCCCCTGCATCAGGTTCTATAACCTTTGAACCTTGCCCTGTGACATCGTTGTCCCCTACAGACAAGCCATCATCTTGAACCCCTGAGTTGCCATCCTTGTCAGATGTTTCACCTTCAACCTTTCCCTCTTGCACTTTGACATGACCTTTACTCTCCTGACCACCCGACCCATTTGTAGCTTCAAGGTCACCCACTGAAGGCCCTTGATCTTTGACCTCTCGAGGTTTGGGGTCATCCTTGGTGCCCTCCACGATGGAGTGGATGTTGTACTTCTTCAGTTGGAAGTAGTCTTTCAGCACACTCATGCAGCACACCGTCCGGATCACCTCAATAACGATAGCAAGGTCAGGAGAGTTCAAGTTCACTTTGCAGGCAGGGTTGACCTCTGACACGACCCCCGCCAGTGCCGGAATGACCTCATCACGTTTCATGGTCCCACTGTTCCGCGTCTTGAAGACAATGGCGTAGCTCGGGTTGTCTTCTCCGGAGAAGAACTTGGGGAACATCTCCTCTGCAGACTTCTTCACGTTCTCTAGATACGCCTTGCACGCTGACATCACCGGTATGATCCTCAAGACATTCCGCGTCTTGAACTTCTTAGACGTGTTGATGTCGTCGAGAATGTGGTGGACAAGTTCGTCCGGACTCTCCAGCTGTGACTGGATGAAGACGACATTGTTGGCTCCGCTGTCCATTGCCTGGAACCTCCGCTTCTCCTTACCGGCCTTGTTCTTCATCTGGGCCACTTCCTTAGCGAGCGCAGCCTCCACATCCTCCTCCTCAGATTCGGACCCTGAATCTGAGGCCGTGATTTCGGGGCCGTACATCTCGTCGGCGTACTCGTTGAGGAGGTTGTAGGCCTCGCGGATGCAGGCTTTCTCGTTCTTGTTGCAGGTGACGAGGACGCCCTTCATACCGATCTCCAGGCACATTCTCCTGCGCTTCCTCGCGCCACGCCAGAACCCCTTCTTGCGTTTCCTGTCTGCCATCTTAGTCTGTAACTAGTGTAAGAGATGTGAAGATAAGATACAATGTTACAATATAATAAAAAAATTAGTCAAACCTGTACAAGGACTTACAAGTGAATAACTCTACCAAGCAGACCTGGCCAAATTATGTGGCCCCTTTTTAGCGGATTGATAGATTCCTTTTAGTTATGACTCAGGACAGGAGGGAGGGGGGCGCATAATTTCTGACTTCGGGATTTTGTGTACTTGTCTTGGTCTTTTCGAAGCTAATAATACACGTTTTCATAAATAATATTTGAATATGGTGACCTGAATAGTGGCAAAGACAACTTAGCAACTTACCTGAATACAATTGATGCCTTATTGTGCGGCAAATAAGCCGTTTCAAATTATACACTACAGAAGACTAGAAACTCAGGACGACACATGCACACAAGAAAAATGGTCATATACCATTTTCCGAATGGGGGGTTCAGCTCTACAATTTACAGATGGTGACTTCTCTGTTTGTAAAACAAAAAAGTCCGAGTAAACATCACAGAATAATAAGCTTTTAACTAATACTATGGAGATATTTGTTGCTGTGAAAATATTAGTTAAACAGAAATAGATTAATTTGAAAGATTGATAAAATGTTCCTCCCCATGGGTAAGTAGTTTCACCTGTTAGCTGACGCCTGCGTGTTTTGTGAAGACACTCCAACATGGCGGACAGATCTTTGGACGAAATCATCTCCAGAAAACAGCGCTTTGGTGCCACTGGACGGGGCCGGGGCAGGTCAGAAATTACTCACAACCATCACAAGAGTCTATACATATGTTTTAGCTACCTTATGTCCGTTCTATGAAGGTATTTTGTGGCGGAGAAGCCGGAAATGGTGCATGTAAGAAGGTGCCGTCAAGTGACCGAAACCTGACCATCCACAAATTTGTTTCCTCACGATCACGCCATTCATTTAGAATAGAGTAAAATGCTTTGACTAATTTTGACAATGCAGAAATTTTGAGTTTTTACTTTGTTCATAAATTATGTTTCTGCATTTAATTGCAACGTGTAGATTATGGCTAGATTTCGATCATTCAACGTTTGGATTTTTAATCACGAAATTTATTGACACGAACAACTGGTGGTGTTGTGCCCTCCTTCAGATTTGTCTAAAAGTGCAGGTTTTACGGGAGTAGAAGAAGAAATGTTCTGCATTAAGGAATAAATAGACATTTTGGTCAAGTCAAATACCACACGTAATTGTCTTTAGTATACAAATTTTATGCTTATTTTAAGTTGAAGTCATTGATACCTTGTTATACAACTTGAAATAATAGGTTAACTTGTAACATGTTACATATGCATGCTTGCTTGAAAAGTGAGCAGTATTGAAACATCTCTGTCATCTTTTGCTCATCTGTCTTGTGTTTCTCTTAAGGGGCGGGCGGGGTCAGCCTGCCAGACCAGCCCAGGGGCGTGGCAGCTACCAGAGCACCATGGCAACCAGACCACAGCACTTTGACGCAAGACAGAAGCTCAACTCACCAAAAGTATATAATGTTTGACACCTTCTGCAGCAAGCTGTGTGATGTGCAAATGTTTAGTAGTTGTAAAAGGAATGAATGAGTGAGCGAGTGACTGAATGAGTGAGTAAGGGAATGAATGGGGAAATAGGTGAAGGAGCGAGTGATTGTCTCTCTGCAAGATTGAGGGTTCAAATCCAAGTGCAGTATCACAGTTGGTTTGTCAACTCGGATGTATATACTATAAGATACTAGCATTAGAATTGCTAACCACCCCAGATCCTCTGCTGTGTCTGAAAGGACCATAAGCCCAACAAAACATTCCAACCTTTTCCCACCTTTGACTTCCAGGTTGTAGACGCCCGTCAGAAGCTCCAAGCCAAGTCTCCAGTGGACGCTCGGGAAAAGTTACAGCAACAGAGGTTTGTCAGGCTAGTTTTCCATTACAGTGGTAAAAATTTAAAACATCTTAGTCTCCATTGTACTGGTTAGGCTTGGAGAAATTTCCATTCAACAGGACAATTCCGAATCCAATTCCTTTTCTTGAATGCATAATACAAAATATTTGAATTGTGTGCAAAATTCTTCTTTAAATTTTTGCAAATCCCAGACAACCAGTGGACGCACGGCAGAAACTGCAGCAGAAGAAGCAGGAGAAGCAGCTGGTTACCGTGACGATAGGCGACGCCCGGGACAGGTTGCAGCAGGCCGCGCCCGTCGTTAAGGACGCACGACAGATGCTGCAGCTGAAGAGGAAGTCAGGTGACCTGGGCGGGGAGGGGGGCGCCTCCACCAGCGTCAAACAGAAGAACGGCAACCTGACAATGACGGTGGGTTCTAGCACAGTCTGGGTCAAAAGTCAGGCCATTTCAGGGTGTTTCATCTCACAGTGTATAAATTGGACCCTGCCTTCAGTTTCACCTACTTCAATCAGTCAACCATAGCTTTTGCCAGTAAATCATAAACTATTTTTCTCAACAGATTCCAGGTCTTGGAAGTCCAAGTCCTTCAAAAAAGGTAAGATTGCTTCTTGCTAAATGTCTCATTTGCTTATTTCCTGGCAGTAATCTACTTACTAGTAACTTAGTAATTAAGGAGAATTAATGTGAAAATGCAGAAAAACAAGCTAAGATTGAAAAGACCTACCATACCCTTGTCTTTGTTAGCTGAAGACAGAGCCAGCGGTCAGTGTGAAACCAGGAGGGATGACCATCACTATGGTCAATGACACAGCCAGGAATCAGGTACACGGCTTTTGTAGCATGACTTTTTCAAAATTCTACACAGTTAGATTTTCCATACTTTAGTACCGAATATTGTATTTGGATATGATTCCTTCACTCCAAGCTACAGTGTACATTTTGTACTTGTATTTTCAACAGTTGGAAAAGTGTGTGGTTTCAGAATATCTACATGTTTATGAGGCTAAAACTGTACATATCTATTTGAACAAACATGTGTATGGTTTCAGAATCAGAGAAAACCTTTTTCACCACCTGTGGACACCCTGTCTACCCCTAAAACCATCACCATTGGTTCGCGCCAGCTCAAGGGGATGACCATTACCACACTGAACCCGGCTGCTAGGACTGCACCATCACCACAAAAGGTAAGACCCCATCATCAACATTCATAAGTGTTGAACTTTAAAAAAAAACCTGCCAGGCCACGGTTTTGGAGCAGTATTGACACCCCTTTTCTACTAGAGAGCGGGAATGCTGAGCAACCAAATTTTTTACAACAAATTCCATAGGAAAAGAAGAAATTTTTTACATTTTAGGCATTTTGTCTTTTAAATCATGATTCATCATTCCAATTTTAAAATCAAGTCATGTAAATCCAATTTTGGTTACTCAGTGATCACTGTGAAGTAGAAAGGCAGCCTAAGCATTTGACATTGCCTGTAAAATGTTTGAGGTAGTAACAAACTAACATTGTCAGCATGAATAGCTTTCTTCTTCTCGAGTCACTAGTCTAACATGAACGGCATATAAAGTAATGTAAAGTAAAGTAACTGTGCTGTTATTTTTTCCCAGTGGTCTGAACTGTCAGAAACAGAACTGGAAGTAGAGGGCACAGATCTGCCCAGCTCCTCTGATGGGGTAAAACATATCGATTTTTCTTTCAGGGGAAAAGGAGTCAAAGTTAAGGGTCTAACCACAGTACATGCATGCTATTAGCCTTTATCATTCAGATAACTGTCCTAACTTAGTGGTGGAAATGTTGAACACTCTGAAGGGTCAAAATGAAAACAGAGGCCTAGGAGTAAAAATTTCTTCTGACTAATGACATTCACTTCCTGAAAGTGTATGTATTAAAAATACATTTTGTACAAGCTTTCATCTCATACTTTGTTTGCAACTCCAACAGACGTATTTTTAAAAATGATGGCCATGGTAGGACATACATGTACAAAACACAACACATCACTAAACAATCTCTGTTTTACAGATGGGGTCCCCAGCAACAAGCTTGCGGTCGATGCCTCCAGCTAAACTTGGGTCTGGCAGTATCCTGGACTCCCCTGGCGGTCCTGTCATCAAAATCGTTAACGACATGGCCGGGAGGACGAAACCTGTCAAGACGCGACCAGAACCCAGACTGGAAGACGCAGAGGAACTAGTTATCACTAGAACAAACCCTGTTGCCGCAGTACCCAAACCCAAGCCGGCACCACCGGCACCTAAACCACCACCAGCTAAGGTGGAGGAGGAGGAGAGTGAAAAGGTAAGGACTGTTCTGAAAGTTCTTATAACAGAGGATGGGACACACAAAATAGTGTTAAATCATCTTCCTGCTACATAAACCTGTAACCAAAACAAGTTTGGTTGCAAAATACTATCTCAGCAGAAAGAAAGGTAACCAAATTGCAGTACATTCAACAACAAGAGTGACAGGTGCGTCTATTCATGGCTGTGAAAATTTGTCTTGCCTGTACATGTAGATCCAAAGAACATCCATGCCAGCACTTTGCAAAAGTGCCCCCTGCCAACATATTGAAGAGTTGCATGTGCTTTTCAGAAAGCATGTGGGCAATCTAAGTACAGTTTGTAGTTGAGTGAAATGGTAATCACACAGGATAACAAGCTAGCTTCACTTCCTTTTTTTATCACTTCATATCAGGTGTAACAGGTCCAACATTTGTTTGCTTCACAAGGAAAACTGTTAATTGATACTTTTGTTTGTTGCAGGAATTCACCAGTCCACTCCAGGGGACTAAGATCACAGTGTCCAACTTGCATCCTGTAGTGTCCGAAAACGATGTTATCGTAAGTTTTTATTGTTCCTTTTGTACCCTCATCATCCTGCATTTCCTAATTATACAGGCATTATAATCCTGTGCTAGAGATGTTTAGAAGGTTGACATTGTGATAACTAGTTATGGTTTTCAGTTAGGTGTCAGAATAGCCAGTGCTACAGTAGATTATTTGGCTTTCTGAAGTACCATGCTTGCACACAAGGCTCTAGGAACTTTTTAACAACCACAAGTGAGGGAAAAATGCTTCTGGTTTGTCCCTGATGTTACTAGCTAAAACAAGCTCAGATGTTTAAATGTGTTGTTCCTGACGTGCCATAATTTTTTCCCAGGAACTTTTCAGTGACCTTGGTCCGCTGAAACGTGCTCGGCTGATCAAGCAGGGCGTGGCGGAGGTCGTGTACGTGAAACGGGAGGACGCCATCAACGCGTACAAAAAATACCACAACAGGGACCTTGACAGTAAGTCATACCAAAGACTTCCAAAATGGGAAGTTGGAAATTTAAAGATTTTTAGGGAAGGATGATTGTGTGAGATAAAGAATGAGATATAGATTTAATTCCAAATCATGCTTGGGAAAGTCATTTTCTGCATCAATGTGATCAGAGGAGTAAACTGGAGCTATTTGTATCTTTGAAACACATGGGTAGTCCCTTCATCCCTTGAAGGCTGATTTCCAAGGGAGCCCATGGAAACATTATATAAGAGAGTAATATAACATACATCATAAATATACAACAATAATGATAAACAGTAAGTGGTGTTTGATATGGTCAGAGGTCAAATACTAGAATACTAGTACGATGGAATCCAAGCTAATCCCAACCCAGCAGCAACCTTGGTTGAGGAGTAGTTGGGAGGAAAGTCCTGGGAAGGACCTGTGACCAAGACTTAACCTGTTCCTATTGTGTGTTTTCCCTCCCAGGCCAGCCCATGAAGCTGACACTACACCTCCCATCTAACCCCCCTCCCTCCACACCAACATCTGCAGCACTGGAGCATCTCAAGTAAGAACACCAACTCTCAAAAATGTACTTCTGGGGATGAGACATGCCACAAATTTCATGCAAGAATTGACCAGTAGTCCACTTTGTGATTCTTTGTGTTCTAGAAAATATGCCAACGTTTTTCCTTTATTTATGGTGCATATGGCTTTAAAAAACTCCTCCCACATGCTAGTAAGTGCTTTTGGTAATGCCTTAGTGGCACAGAGTGTTATGAGTGTCAGCATCTGCACGTTTAGCTATATTTCATTCAATACATTGTCTGAATACTTATCCCTCCATTTGTGCATCATTCATTCATTCCTTCCTTCTTGATCTCCCTACAGGATGCGAGCAGCCTCATCCCCACCAGCTACCCAGAAGCCTCTAGAAATCAACACAATACACCGAGCGCTGTTCAAATCCAGCGCCGCCTCAGACCCCGCAGTCCCTAACAAACCTGTCGTCTTTACTGTTAAGATATAGATTGTTTCTCACGACTCCCCCTTCCGCTAATGGTATCATCCATGCTCTTGACACTTTTGGGGGAAGTTGGACCAATCCATCATACAGATAGGGATGTTTTGACAAACCTAAAGGAAAAGAGTCTATCGCCCTTGAAGAAAATGCTAGGGACATGCACACCCACACAACATTTGACCACCCCTATTTACAAGTGGTATGACCTGGATGTTTCTTTTGGACCAGTCCACTTTGGAAATGGGTGTTGCAGAAGCCTTGCAGAGGTTTTGCAAGGACAGTCACTGTGGGAAAATTTTGAACTCAGTACTGCTATTCTTCAGTGGTATACCCCAGGTACTGGGTCCAAGACTTAACAATTTGAACAGATCATACATAGATAACAGATATGATTCAGAATGTTTTTCTGGTAGTTTGGGTAGAATCTGTTTTTACCATTCTTGGAAAATGTTGAAAAGTGGAAAAAAACATGGTGAAGTCTCTCAAATTTAAAATGTTTGTTTTCTCATTTAAGAGAGAAAGTTGAGTACAGTAGAGGTAACTTTGGTGTGCTACATACATGTATATAGACACATTCTGAACCTTTAGAATCTATAACATCTGTATCTGTAACCTGCTTACAATGCAGATGTATTAAGACCATTTAGATGGTAGTTTATAATTGAGCTTGCTGATACTCAGGATCATGTACATACATGATAGTACATTCTGTTCCTTCCTGCATTTATAGCAACAGTTATCCAAGATGGTTTACAACTTGTTTGTTTTGTAGTGTAAATATAGTATCATTCTGTATTATGTACAGCCATTTTCTTTCTTTTTGTTGAATAAAGTTAATCATTATTAGGGTGTAAAGCTAATGTCTGAAGTGATTGTAACAAATACAAATTAACATTCAGCAATGAATCCTTTAGAATACAACAAACCAGCATACTGTGGTTACCATATTTTTTCTGATAATTCTTAGGTTCCTGGCAACTTATCATTTACCCTTTGGTTTAATTTCTTGCTTGTACTTCAGAGCATAAGAATTGCATACTTAAGCCTTCTTTCTACCAAGGAAGACCTTTGGTGCTTTATTTGTATTTGGGTACAGGGTTATGTAGCAGAAGAAATGTTGGAAGAGTAGCTCAATTTATCTCATCCAATTTAAAAATTTACTCTTTGGTTAAGTACTAGTATAGTAGTTTTTCCCCTTCCTTCTCAAAAAAGCATTGTGTTTGGGGATAAGTGCAAGAGTTTTAGTCTTTATGTACATTTTGAGTTTAGTTGAGTTGACATTAAATGCCTGTACATGTCCATCTTTGTGTGCTGTCCTCATATGCCCCCTGGTTGTATAGTCATGAGCTCGAGGTCTTATGGACTAATCTCCAAGCAGATTCCTTTCAGTGGCAAGATAGTATCCATTAGCCAGAGGAGCCATCGCATCGGTGGCTAATGGACACTCCTCTGGCTAATGGATACTGCCTTGCCACCATACGATGTGCTTGGAGATTATTATGGACATGAATCCGATCTTAAGACCACAGGGAACGATGTACCAGAGGGCACAGGCTAAACAATGCTGGATGTCAGACTGGGACAAGAATTTGATGAAGAGTAAGATAACGTTAGTAGCCAGTACTGTGCACGTGGTTTTACAAGGTCGAGGTTAGGTCACAAGATTGCTTCTACTAAAATGAAGGGATAGATTTAACAGTTGGAGTCTGTGTCATATTGTATATAAAATTTGTGAACCCTTTTCTTTGCAAGGCTTCCTGTCGATAATATTGCGTTTCTTGCCAAATGAATAGATACACTCCACTGGACTGGGATTACGTTTGATAGCCATTGAGGCATACTTTATGACCTGTCTTACATTGTCCATACGATTTGCGAGATCTTTTCTTTTCCTTGAAATACTTCACAGTAGTTGACGCTCACATTGCAATCTTAACTGTAGTAAATTGAGTTCATATGACCCCGGTAACCTTTCTCAATGAGGATTAAAGGTTATATCTAACCATGTATCGTCCGTCTGTGATAGAATCTACGTTCTCTTCTGTTGGTCTATTGTCTGAATATTGAGCGAGGTCAAAGTTATTTCACGCCGAGAGAGTTTCACGTTGGATGTGTGTGGCCCTCGATTTTATGATTGGAATTATACAGATGTTAAAGTATGATTTAAAGACAACATATCAGTGCCACTTGTTTCGTGTGCTAAGGAGGGACATTTAGTACAGTTTTTGACAACGGCAACAGCTGATGATATAGACCCAAGCATCGCGCCTTCCATCTGAAACCCTGCACATCTGTCCAATTTAACGCCGAAGATTAGCTGTGATTACAACATTCGTCAACTCGTGGTGTTTTTTGTCAGAAGAATCAATCTATACTGTCTCTTCTCTCAGCATTTTACCCGCAAAACTCTGTATCAAACACACCTTTCCTTCGGGTCAAGATTAACGACTGCTTCATCCATAGAGAAGTGAGTTATCCAAAGAAAATTATTCGATCCATCATCTAATAATTTTGCAGTCAAAACAAATGTATGTATATGATATCTTTCCTCACGGTACTTTTCCAACAAACCCCGTATCAAACACACGGTTCCTGCAGCTAGCTAGATTTGATCAGCTATACTGTGTCATCCATTTTGAACAAGGGTTTTGAAATTTCATACTGGAAGCCTAAGAGTTTCACGCGATTGCCAGATCTATCATATTCGTAAGAACATGCTTGCCCCGTGCCTACTAGATCTACATCGGCTACTGCATCATCAATTATGAGTGGGGATTAATTTACCCCCATTCTGATGCTGGATGTTTGATATTTCGAAACAAAAAGAGAAATGACCACTTCCATCATACCTGGTAGTGTTTCAGTAACACCAGCGTACCTGTTGGCACTTTCTCAGAAAAGCACCGGCGATATCCCTTAGGCCAGCATCGGCTACAGTAGTATCGTCAATTACGAGGTGGGATTTACCCAATTTTACACTAGCTTCTCCCGCTCCGTCACAAAGGATTTACGCGGGAAATTACGACATTCATCACGTCATAACATCGCTGTAAGAATGGGTTTAAACTAACGTTCATGCCAACCTTTTTTACGTGCAGCAAAGCTTAGTATCAAGCCCCAAAGCAACACCATTAATTCCACACGAGATCTCTCCCACTGCGCGGCGAAGGATTTACACAGGAAATTGTTCTATTCGTCATTACTTTTGCAGTAAAATCGCGGTTTCCCAGCTAAAATCTGAGAGGATCATTACGCCAAAGTTAACTATTGTTTTCACCCATTTTCAGGACGGATCATGTTTAATTCTGCGAAGACTTATTCTCACTGCATACCTGAGGGAGAAATACAAAAGCTGTCTGTGAAATCTATTCTCAAAACATCGATCTTACAGCAGAACCTATCAGCAAATTGTCTCAGGCCAACATTAGCGCTGCACTTGATGTATCATTAATTTTGAAGTTAGGGTTTATCCGATTTTACCCTGGATTTAAGCAGGAAATTGGGAAATTTATCACTTCCCAGCGATTAGGTGAGAATTATTCTTTTACTTCAGCTTTGTAATTGAACGGAAACGTTTATTGCACTTTTGTCACACTATAGCTAGGCTAAGTACAGGTCACAACCAGGTGCATCAGCTGCTAACATTGAATAAATTCAGCTTCTCGCTTTCTAATTACATGTATAACAGAAATGAGATGTATTTGCAAACTTTGCCGCATTAGAAGTACGAATTCTGATAATACCAGTATAGTGTACCTCTTCCCAGCGTCTACTCCACAAAACAACAACGCTTTTTTTCAGCAAACATCGCCTACTGTGTCATCCGTTTTGAGGAAGAATTTATCTAATATTACGCTGGTTTCTCAACACTGCGTAGCAAAGGATTCACGCGGGAAATTACCCCATACATCAAACCACATCCCCGCCGTAGGAATGAGTTATAACAGCTTTCCTACGCACACCTAATAACAGGTGGAGATGTACTAGAACTCTCAACATCGTTTGTCTCTGAATACAGAGATTGAGTTTCGACATGTAAAATTTGTTTCTCATATTATCTACAACGATTCTACATGCAGTTTCCATTCCTACCAACAGGGGTCTTGACCAAATCAGAGACCGCGTTTATTTGTGACCTAAAGTCTTTATCATACATCAACCATTCGTTTTCAAACCTTTGCAAGGATGCGAGTCTCGATCTTGGCCGATCACACTTTAGACAACCCTTACGCCAAACGCTATGCATGCGCCCATGTCATCCTTCCTTGACTTTGTAAGACCTAAAAAATTCAGAAAAAAGTGCTACCAGTAGTAAACCCGACAGAGATGAAGACTCAACGTTGTAGATGCCTCCCAACTTCATAACTAGAGCGTCTGATGCGGCTCCTTTCATTTGCGCTTTGCCTTGGAGGCAGTGATTGCCTTGGACTCCCCGATCTCTCACACATGGTTATACCGTACCTTCCCTCTCATGGCGACAGCTACTGCAAACTGTAATTACGTGGGAGCGAAATTGGCTTATCTGTGGAGCTATTGTGACATGATGGGACCGGCAGAGGGAAACATTGATCTCATTTTGCGCCCGACAAAGAGCAGGAAGCGTTCATTTCATCTCTGAAAGCGTTCGTTTAATAAGATGTGAACACCGGGAGGCTGGGCGTCATTTCGGGTTAGGCCAAGCAAAGGTAATTGTTTGTGTGCATGGCAGCATCTTTACTAGATCCCTTGCAAATTTAGATGTGGAAAAGCATAGACACACCCTTAAATAGTTTCATCAGGTTGGTCAATAAATTCAATTTTTTTAGTCTTTATTACAGTACTTAAACCACCAGAAGATGTAATCTGTGGAACGTTTGCGTTAAACAGTCCATAAATGTACTAAGAAAGCCTGTATCATCTTCGCTATATGCACGTTAACGTACTCGCAATGTAACTACAAAGTCAGCACCATGGACAGGGACAGCTAAGCGAGTAATAAACCATGTAAACAAATCCAACAACTGAACAATAAACAAATCAAACAACTGAACACATATTCCATTCCGCGCAGGTTCCTCCCTGCCAGCGGGGGTCGCCCCCCCCCCTCCTCCCCTCAGGAAATCTGCAGAACGAGCCTTAATGTCACAGCTCAGCGAGTCTGATGTTCCAGTAATTGAGAACTGCTACACACCATTCGTGTGTAGTTATTGTCAATGTTAGGTCTCCGGGAAGACTGTGTGCCGCGCAGCGTCGTTTAGGTGCGTCTTGGAATGTCAAGCAACTTAGCGAAGGGCTTGTCAAGGATTTATTCCACTCCGTTCAAATATCAACCACAGCTTCCTGTTATTTCCAATATGATTTTACGTAATACCAGTTCGATTGTGCCCACGTCAAAATGGCAAGTAGTGTTAAAACAGATTACAAAACAGAACGCGTTTCTCTGCTGTTGTTAATGTATGAAGGTCGTTGCTTGAAAATGCATTTTCCTATAACTAGTATAAGGCAACATCATGAAAATTCAAAGTTATGAAGGAACCATGCAACATATCTGAAATCATTAGATGCAACAGTACAGACGATCTATTTCTGGAATGCAGAAGACAATTTATTTCTGGAATGCAGTGATGTGCGTTATTGATTTCGTCGCTAATGAAATGCCGTCAGTTTTTATTAATTCTGGGTTCCTATCTCCTGCGAAAGGTGTGACTCGTGAAGTAACGCAAAATAAATTCTATAGGTGAAATGTCCTGGAGACAACCGATAAATAGTTGGAGACAACCTGGAACAAAAGCAAGATGTTATTATGACTGATAAACCGGCGGATGTACCAAGTGCCTAATATCAGCTCAACAAAGAACAAGACGTAGTCACATATTCAAGTACCAGAGTTACCAACCAAGTACAATAATAAAGATCGGAGATAATGTATATGTAGTTCAGTGGTAGCACTATAACTATTTCCCGTAAATAGTACGTACTATTTTATCACAGTTTAGCATAACTTTGTGGACTTAAAACCACGATCAGCTGTACGCAAAGCGAGCATTCCACCAACTTGTTGAATATTGCTGTGCTAGTTCATGGATCCTCGTGAAGATGAACCTTCCATCGCCGCGCTATAGCTAGCCTCCATATCCCTATCCCGCTGGGTCTAATTATCTCCGGTACAGAGCCCACTTCTCCCCGCATCTCTCTGTGGAACCGTCCGGTGTCCGGGGAAACCCGTAAAGTCTCGTGATGATCTCTCATGATCCTCCTGATGAGGATTTGGGTTAATGGGCTCAGAGGTGCCGCGCGGGGCTGATGTATGATACATGAGATATCTACACTGGAGATGGCCACACCTTAACACCCATCCGATAGTGTGAAACTTACTCAGGGGTAAGAAATCCCCATCCAAATTGAAGTTTTTGGTCGCTACAGAAGGGTTTCTTTTTCTTAGTTCACCATGCCCTTTGCTTAGATTTTGGTGCTCTCCCTGATTCCAGGTAGTGTCAATGAGACAAGGCAAAGAAAGTGACGTGCGTTCATTTGTAGAATGTAGCATGACATGTCCGATGTCAGACCTATATGGGCTTAGTTACTCCTGCCACGAATATGAAGAACTGGACAGTCACTAGTCCCTGCCAGAAGGCTGGTGGGTTGCTGCAAAATAGTAGAAACTGGCCAAATAGACGTACACACTAGTAGTATGTCACAGGGGTTATCTTGTTATAGGGTTGTATAGGCTTTGTAAACAAGTTTCCGGCAACCCATTTGTGTCTGGTAGATAGTAAAGCAATCACAGATTTTTTTAACACTCGGCTTATCGCTAAGACTCCCCCGTACGTAGCTGGTGAATTATACATGGTCTCTGCCGACACGGAAGGTGTTGTTCTGACGTACGTACGTCGCCACGTACGACCGGGTCTTAACACACGGTAGAGGATAACGCCGTGAGAAGTGATGAGGACGGGTCGAGAGGAAAATGTATGGAGCAAAGGTCTAGAACGTGTTGGGGCGAGGGAGAATGGCGAATACGTGACAAGGGGCCATTATACATTATAACAGGACTGTCTACATAGACATATCTAGCCTTCTTTATCTTTCACTTTTTTCATTAATTCTGATATATGTAAAAAAAAACAGAACCTCCAATATCAGAAACGTAAATCAAGTACCAAACAGACCAGTCAGAGAAAAACATCATTCATGTGAGTAGTGACTTTCAAGTTACATCCTGATACTCGATGTGGACAATGTTCTGTAACTCCACTTTATGGCTTTCTGCCAATGAAATACTCCACGCGAATAATACCAGGAGAGATCTTCACTGCCCCGGCGTTCCTTCTCAGTTACTACCAACGGTGTGGGCGCCCTTAGCCAATCCCACGTTCTCCTCCAACGATTCTCGGACTTTGAATGATCCCTCTTCAATTCTCCTTGCCTTCATCTGAAGTCCTTCTCCATAAAGATCTATTAAACTTGATCACCTGGGGCGTAGAAGTACCCCGTGTGCGAGCCCACTGATAGCGGGAGGCTGAAGTTGTTTTGTATATCAAAGGCGATGCCGAGCCACGAGCCGTTCCCCGTGGTACTGAGATAGCCATGAGGGGATTCTCAGTTATCACAGAGGGTCAAGCGAGCGATGTAGAGCTTCATTAGAGCGTGTAGGCGGGAGGCAGGGTCGCCGTTTGGCGCTGATAATTAAAGCAGCAGTGGAGAGAGAAGATCAGCGGGGAGGGGGGGAGGGGGTGGCTGACAAGAGGGAATGGTCACATTCGTAGTACGGAAGGCATTTTGGAGACAAAAAAGGCTGTCTTCGAACCGTGACGGCGGTTAGTTCTGTCACAGGCTACTTAGAAATTCTCCAACATCAAAACTCTGCAACGAATTTCACAGCGCCATTAGGATGAAAGGGAAAAAACTTGATCTGGAGAGAGCAGGCTAATATTGAAATAACCACAACAAAATTTACAATGGACCAAAGAACACAGAGGATAGAACCCCTAGTAAATTTTCCTGCGGTGTTTTTTGAACGTAGTGAAGAAATGTAATTCTCCAGGGCCAGGTATCTTGGTTTGTTTGAATGAAGCAGACGATTTCACCAATCTCTGTCTTCCCGGGCCAAATCGTATTTCCCCATACATGGCGTCTTTTATTGCTCGAGACCTCGACACAAAGTGGCCCCTTGTGCCCGGTAAACTTGTCCGGTGAATTACAGGGTAGTTTACCTGCCTACCCAATTGCAGTGCATTTATGGGCACGTCGCTGAGCTGGATTGTTATAGCAGCCCGTGAAACATAAACAAAGCACTGCTGGCCGTGGCCTTAGTGACCCGGCATTTGCCACAGTGCGGTTATGACTCTCAACTTGTCACGGAACGGCCCCCTACACGGTGACCAACAACTCGCCTTGTCTCTTTTTACAGCGTCGTAAAGTTGTATAGTGGTCACCGCGGGTCAGTTCAGAAAGATCTCTCTCTGGTACGCGTTTTAAAGCATCTGCTCCTCAACACGCATCCGACTGATTCGGTGTGTCCATAAAGTGTTGGCGCGGGCCCATTAGATGGTAGCACCAGCAGGGCAAGGTAACCTTGCTTGTAAAGAATATGAATGAGGCGGAACATCACACAATCGACAGTGCAGGCTTGAGATGTTCGCGCGAAATCGTAAAGGCGTTTCAAGTGTCTGGTCCACTTACACTACCCATTAAGACGCACGTACGTACCACTCAAGTAGCCAGAGAACAAGACGCCGTCTTGTTACCCGTTCTCCTTTGAAGTCAAGAGATGTAGTAATGGGGTAGGTTGGCGGTTCTCATAAAGAGTTGGCGTTTCTTTGCACTAATGGGAAGCACGTTGCAATTTGTTTTGAGGCTACCGCCTGTGAAGCTGATATAACAAGGCCGGAATTTACACTCAAGACTGCCAAAACGGTGGTTTTGGTTTGAATTTGTATTTGAGCCCCCAGAAAAAGAAATTTTGCCACTTTCGATAGCTTGGCAGTTAGTTAACTGCGACAATTCCCCATATGCTTCAAAACGAGAAGACGTTGTATTGCTTATAAGCACGCTTAAATCCATTGTAAATCACATTAAATGATGAGACTAAATTTTACCAGTTCCCTTGCTGCTTAAAAAAGGACCCAATCGTCATCAAATGTCAAAACAAGTCTTTTCTTGTACATATACATTGACGTCAGATTCGAGGCCTGCAAGGGATGGCATACACGAAATGAAGTTAACCTAGCCTAACTGGTATTATGAATGCTCTGTTCGCCCTTTGATGTAACTGCTATAGAGAAATGCTAGTGTAGTCGCGTCATCGCCCACATAGTTACGGGCGCGGGCACGTCACCTGCAGTTGGAAATCCGCCCGGCTCACAACACGTACAGTCACCGAGTCAGCGGCATCAGACACACGCGGCACTGGTAGGTTCTAATGTCCTTCATCGTTTTATATCTTTGCCTACGATATCAACTCCAGAACATGTAATCTGTGGAATATTTGCGTTAAACAGTCCATATATGCACTAAGAAAGCCTGTTTTATCTTGGTTAACGTACTCGCAATGTAACTACAAAGTCAGCACCATGGACAGTGACAGCTAAGCGTGTTTTATTATTGTTTGTCCAGTCGTATATTGAATACATTCTTTGTGTTTAAGGATGTGAAAGACGTACAGTTGTTCAGTAAAAACCATATTACCTTAGCGGTCATTGCGTACCATTTCCGAATCTTGATGAAATGATACATCAGTAAAACGGAGTTGGTATTTTAGCCGTCGAAGAGTACAGACGTTAACTACATTGAATGACGCGTTTAAAATAACCTGTAGTTTTTCAGGCTTGCACAATCTCCTTCATCACCATCATATGTGATATACATGTACCTACTTCAAATACTCCGCACATAGTATCCGTGTGGCGCGCGTAGCCATGTTTTTCTACATGTTACAATCCGGACCGGCAGTGGCGCCCGACACCTTGATAAGGCATGTAGCAGTCTGGCGGTTGTTTCGATGGCTTCAAATATACCATACCGCTGTACGGACCATCTTATAACATCAGTCATGTGTGTGGGGATGTAGAGCCTAGCAGTGTGTTAAACAGCACAACGTATCAGCGTGTAATATATATGGCACTTCACTAGTACAATGCGACATAAGGCTGATAAAAATGATTCATTTAATTTTATCTCATATCTTATCATTTTTAATGAAATGAATGTACTAGATGTGGCCTAACCTTCTCCGTGCTTTTGGCGCGATACGTATCGGCAGCAGGGTTAGGCAGCAGGAAAAAGGCAGGTGAGCTCGCAGAAGGCTGCATCAGTAGTGTTCACATGTACCGTGTTATAATTGGTAATTTGCAGGTCCGCGTGACTTTCTGCCCCTAATGACCACAAAGTGAACAAGGAGGAATCTGGAGTGTTTTTCAGTGAAACGTAGCGCGGACAGACCTGCCATGTTTTCGTGAAGTACGTTGTACCTTAAAATATAACAACCACCACCTGACTCTATAGCTACTCTCATCTTTCCTCACACAACTCTGAATTTACGTACTTTTTTTTAAATGTAAGGCTCCCTTTCTACAACTTTCATATGAATAAAATCGTCTTCTGATTTCTAATCTATTTTGAAATTATGTAACCGTGAGCCTCTTAATGACTCGTTAGGGCCGGAGTGAATGACATAGGGCCACAGCAGGTAATTTTTATGGATGACATCAGCGCGTGCCTGATCCTGAAAAAAAAAACAAGAAATCGTGTTTCCCTCTGACAGTGGTCAACCTGCCGAAAATGGGCAAAGATGTATGTTGCCATGCTTTAACATGGATGACAGTTAGATATGATTTAGAGAGAAGACAAGACAAGGCTCTGAGTTGTCTTTTACTCTACTAAGTTAATGCAGTGAAATATTTTACTCCTTTTATATGTGATGGTGGCTGTGTTATGTGATATTCGAATTTCCACTGGATCAAAACCATTTGTACAATGATTGAAAACGCATTCAAATGTATATATTTCAAAGTTGTTTCAGTGACAAATGGATGTTTTAATACTTAGCACAATTTACGTATCATTTCTTGTTCAACGAGGTTTATGATGGAATTTATGGTTTGTGGTTTATGTAGGAATCTTGTTTTTTTGCCTGCCATGTTTTTTTCGCCCTATCGCATAATTTGATTTGGAGTCTGCGGGGGATGTCATCCATAAAATTTACGTGCTGTGGCCTAAACAAATACCTTGTATATACGAGTCCCATGACGTATTTGCACATTGTGCATACCAATGGGCAGGGCTGCTCGACCTTTCCCGGGATTTCCGCCCTCGCTGCCTCACAGCTGGCGGCGCCGGAGCTTCTGTAGGTTCAACATGTGTCCGTGGAAGATAAGGACACATTAATACAACATTCTGATAAAGGCAAAACAGCGCGAAGCCGTTAGTTATGTTTCAGATAACCGGGCTCATACATTTTGGTCACAGTGAAAGAGCCTTTGCCTATCGTACACATATTAGGCGTGCGTCGGTTAAGTACGTACCAATTGTTTTGTGGTCGTCCTATAATAATCGCCATGTCCTTCCTTACACAACTTTCATCAGCTGTCCAACAAAGTCTAAAGACTTCTTCTTCAACGAAGTCGTTTTCTTGTAAGATGTACTGTCCGCTTGTTGGTTGCTTGATGTGTTGAATTGTTGCAGGGTTTGTTTGATGACACACAAAAAAAGACAAAATTCATGTTCTTGGTCGATGCATGAAGTTGAACTTCTGGTCATATTTCTAGATCAACGACCAAAACCTCGGTAGAAAGGGGGTAAGGCAAAGGGGTTAGGATATTCTAGCTACAATTGCTACGTTGATGTGGTACTAGCATGGCAACGATCTATGAGACGCAATGACAAAAAAAACAATTTGCTGAAAGGTGAGCCGTAAACCCTGGTTTATCTCCGTCTCAGAGACGATCCAAATCCCAGATGTACTTCCGCGGCGGGTTCTCGATAAATAACACCCATTTACGCAGGTACAGAACTGTTTGATAGCTCCCTCGGTGTACGTGTAAGTGGCGTTCCGTGTCGTAACATCCGAACCAGCGAAATTGGGTCTAAAGGAGGGAAAACTTACACAGCAAACAAATCGTCCACGGATGCCCCGAGATGACGACTGTGTTTCATAGCATGCATGATCCAGTTGGTTGCCACTCATCTGACTTGCACAGCGCTGAAAAGGGTTACAGCCCGTGGACATGTTGGATAAACATGTCAAGTTGTGGTCCGTGTATATTCTACATTTTCAATGGCGAATGTATACACTTTACATGGTCATGTTTGACCGTTCGAATTCGGGAGTAGGTCAGCAGTGTTTGGAACTTGTTTGGATCATATTTCAATAGCTTTATAATTTTAAACCAAAGAATTCCCAAGTAAGTAAGCACAGAGACTTTATCATTTTACTTTCCATGCACCAGTTACAGATTTTGAACACCCACGCACAATTCGCGTCCTTTCCATTCAATTGATAGAAATTGACATGCAAATTGCTTAATCATGCGATGATGAGTCGAGGTCACAAAGATTTCCTTTTCTTACCCTCCTTTTACAGTGCGAGGTTTCATTAAGGCGTGTGAATGGAGAAGCTTTATTAACTCGCAGTTTTATCGATTTTTTTCTTAATTACCGGTCCGTTGATAACGGTTCTCCCTTCAAACTGACGCACTGCTTCGATCTAATGACAGGAACCAAATGGAAATTGCCACTAGCTGAGGACCGAATTATTTTCACTTTAAAGAGTCTTTATAAGACCAAAGACGTTCTATAAGTAGTACGTTCTTGATAAGACACAGTGGGAAATGCGTGATGAACAAAAGGAAATGCATCATAATCTCTTTGAAATGTAGGCAAAGGTAAAGCTAGCCCCATAGCCAATTTGAGGCAGTAGCGGCAATGGGTTGTTAGTCCGATCCACTGTGGCACTGTATTGGAAGACGGAGCCCACAACCACCACCCCCTCCGCCGCCTTTTACCCCCCTACCAAAGTCAAGTACCCATTCCATACCTGACTGGAATTAGGTTTTATCTTTAATTATTTATCTATAATTTGCAAGACATTCAATTCTTATTCCAGGTGTAGCACGACCAGACAACATGGGTCCACTCCTGCCGATTTTGCTGTGCGCAATCTTCGCCTATCCTGCTGCTTGTAGCGGCGATCTGAACAAGGGTCCCGAGCCGAGCCTACAGGACGCCCTGGATGCCCTGGGGAGGGTGCTGGGCTACTGTGAACGGAACTACCGTGTGCTGAACCTGGATGCTGTCATAGGAATCCGCATGGTGGACGGTGAGTCCTTTAGAACTGTATGGAACTGTCCAAGGTGCTGAAAGTCCTGGCTGAAAGTCTTGTGACAAGGAAACTGTGTGTTTGTGGTGTGTGTGTTTGTGTGTGTGTTTGTGTAATTTTTTTTGTATACACACACATGTGTGTGTGTGTGTGTGTGTGTGTGTGTGTGTGTGTGTGTGTGTGTGTGTGTGTGTGTGTGTGTGTGTGTGTGTGTGTGTGTGTGTGTGTGTGTGTGTGTGTGTGTGTGTGTGTGTGTGCGTGCGTATATGTGGACGGCCCAACTGGCCTGCACATCACATTTTTACTGTTTTTATTGTACGTGCGAACTGCCAATATAACCCACTGTTATCCCTGATTGTCTATATTGTATATTGGGTACGTTAACGTTCCACCCAGGCGGGGGGGGGGGGTTAATGAGATTGATCAATGTATACTTTCCGGGTAGTTATTCATCACTTTATTTTCTCTTGTCACGAGAGGGCAGTAAAGTTTCAGTATCACACTGCCATGTTTTACTGTGTCGTTTTTACGATCACCAACATAACATTTTATAGATATGAAACATAAGTCGCACATGCCCTGTTGGAAATAACAGGACCTTTAGATGACCTTATTTATTACATTCAGCAAAATTAACGAACGTTTTCTTGTTTTGCTGATTTGTTGAGAGAAATAACTCGAAAATATATGAATGGCTTTTTTTATCATTTCTTTGATGATCTAGCCATTCGGGTTTCGTTGCTGCTACAAATTTTCTGTCCATCCCTACAATTTACAATATCCCGTTTCGCAACATAGCCTGCACTGGCGGTAATCAAACTGCCTTTTATTCATTCTGGATAAACCAATCATTGTCATCGTTATTGAATTCCTGCAAAATTTGAATCCGCAACAGACGCTTGTCAAATAATTGTGTATTAATATGAGGGATGATGTCTATTTTTGGACCCTACCTTTGTAATTGTGTGTTTTTATGACTACTTGCATAAGGACAGCTACGAATACAAAGCAGACTCGTCGATGAATCGGCAGTCTGGTACAGAAATTAGGTCTCGTATCTCGCGATCACCAATTCGGTTTGAAAGATATGTAGATTGCAGAAAGAATGATGATGACCTTTTTATGATTACCTCCGGATACGGGGGTATTGTTTTGGATAATGTTTGTCTGTGGGTTTGTGTGTATTTGTCCGGTTTACAACAGATGGGTACTTCCCGGCACCCCTTAAGGAGTTTTGCCCACTTTCACTCTGAATCTGACACATGTTCATCTCACCGGTAGAGCTCTCAGTCTAAAGTCCCATGTAGATAGGCATAATCCTTACATAGTTTCTGACTGTAGGATACTCTGGCACTGTTAATTGTAAGACGGATGGCGTCTGCAGCGACAGCGAGGCAGAATAGAATTAGATACATGCATCTTTATATGTTTAGCTGCAACTGAATGCTAATGAAAGATTGGAGACGATCTCAAGAACTTTTATTAACGAAGTAACAGTACTAACATACAGTCTGCAACAATGGATAATAAAAATTGCCATGAAACCTTGTTCAATTTTGTTTGCAGACACAATTTCAAACATCACAACTAATTCATAACCTTTCGCATATCACAACTAATTCATAACCTTTCGCATACGTTCGAAACATTTTCTGAACGTAATCGATCGATTGATTGATTGATTTGACTGATTAATTCTATTGATTGATGAATTGACTTCATCTGATTGATGAATTGATTTGATCTGATTGATTGATGAATTGATCTTATTGATGGGTCGATTTGATTTGATTGATGAATCGATCTGATTGATTGATTGATTGATTGATTGATTGATTGATCTATCGATTGATTTTCCAGGTCAGCTCACCGTGCTGTCCAGACGGATCGCAGCGGGTCGGCTACCCGCGGACCCCGCCCAGTCAAGGCGGGTGGTGGAACTGCAGCGACAGGCGGCGCGTGTGGCAGACCTTACGCTGCCCCAGCTACAGAAAACCGATCCCGACTATTACGAACGTAAGTGCGGAAACGCGTGCTTCAATGGTTACAGGATCTGTCCAGGGAGTAGCTGTTTTCACATCTTTCACAGCAAAGGTGCGAATAAACAAAAGTACAAATGCACACCAGCCGTACTGGTCCCAAAAGAGTTTAAAATCAAACCCGTTTCGGAAATCGCTCTCATGCAGAAAAATGACATTTACCGCGTTTCGATTAGAAACCATGTAACCTCCTCACAGTATTACCCTACTTCTTAACTAGCCTTATTTGATTGAATCTATCCATAAAGTGCATCAACCTCGCTCTACTGACAACTCAACATCCTTATAGACCGGAAGTGTTGACCTAAAGGTCAATGAGAATTCTGGGGAATCCCCGTTGGCTTCTAAAGTCTTTTGCTAAAGGGCAACCGTGGATTTAACCTTGATGTCTTCCAGGAGCATGAACGCCGTCGGGAGACCCAGTGTGCCGACCCCAATCAAAACTGTATAATGAGCTAGATTGGATGAAAGCGTTGAGAGGAAACTGCAGACTGATGAACTTTAACGATTCACACTTCGGTAGCTCCGGAAATTTCTCAGGTCTGCAGGGAGTTTCTGGTTTAATTAACTCCGGAAAGGAGGTTATAGAACGCTGGGTAATTTGTGGATTGGTTTTCTTCCGAAATGTTACGTTTGTTGGCAGCCCTTGAACCAAATCAGTGGTAAAAAAATTTAGTTCCCAAGAAACTGTCCAAATCACAAATTCTGTTATGACATCAACAACACTGACTTGTGCGGCACATTAACTGAAAAATTGTGGACAGTGTTATCACCTGGAATATTCACGAATGAGATTATGACACCATGAATTTGGCTATTTCTGTGTTAACCTTCGCTGAAGGAAAACATTGTTTTTGCTCAGTTTCTTCCTCTTCTTCTCCAAACAAAGTCAATGACCTGAACCAGACGTCTGTCACCAAGGTAACTGGTGCTATACCAGACGTCCTGTGGTGTTGGCCTTATGGGTTATATTTTGAAGCAGGACAGAGTTGTAGAGGCTGTTCGCCACATATTGTCCTAGATCCTATAGCCTCCAAGACATCGTCTGCCGGTGGGCCCCACCATCGTTCCAATCGTCGTTCTGACCAATCGTCTTTGCCCTATCAGGTCTGTCGCCGATTTTGCAGCCAGGGTTCTGGGTGATTGACAGCCGCTCCAAGACAACAGACCCGCGCCTGTTGGCCCCGCCCACCACACCACGTGACACGCCCTTCAACGAGGAGCAAAGTGACGGATGTCTGACAGAGCTTCTGGGGACCAAGTCAGTTACTGCTTCATTTTCTTCTAATTTGTTTTCTCTGCTTTTTTGTCTGTTTTGGGTATACGACCTGCTAAACGTAATTACTTTTACCACTGTCAGGGCAGAGATTCCAATACAGTAGTACGTCACATTGTCCTTGTCCTTCGTTTAAAGCTAGTGAAAATAAGCTATTTAAAAAGATGACAATTTTTCCATAGAAACAACTTTAGGGGGCTTTGGCCGACACTGAGCGATCTAGATCTAGCACTGTTTTGGTCGCCCAACTGACGCTGAACGGTCTTCACTCTGTTGAGAGGGAGGCTTGAAAATCTCCATCGTTTCAATCATTTCAGGTGATATACTAGTAACCTGGCATTCTCTCTTGTTTCCTTCCTAGTGCAAAGACCAGTTGCAGCATCTCCCCTTCCTGTTGGAGCCTGATGACGTCACCCGGTTACCGGGGTTACTGGCTGACGCACGAGCTGTTCTACCTGCAGATTGGTGAACAGGTGAGCGACCCGTACCCAGAAAAAAAAACTAGGTAAACCTCATATGGGCTTGTTTATGAGAGGAATGTGCCACTGACTAGCCCTTATAACATAACCACTATACTGTTCATGATCAGTCTAGCCCCTCCATGCAGAATCTTTGGCCGTTCTCTTTGACAGTTTCCAAGTTTTAGTACCTTAACAGTTGTAACACACACACACACACCTCCATTTCTTTCTCTGCATGTGCGTATGGGGAGAAAGTTAGGAGCAGTCGTACAGGTTTGGTATTTGTAATTAGCAACCGGTATTATATTGTAGTAATTAAGTAATTCAGTGATATGTATAATGTACGGGACTCCAGGAAGATGAGAAACCAACTGTTGCTTTATCTAATGGAGTTCTTTTTAAAATAAGCATAATAATAAATATAAGCTCCCTCCAGGCTGGTTGCTCGCACGAGTTGGCGATCCGCGCGGCGGAGAGCGGGCGGAGGGACGGGGTGGGCGGCATGGAGGCCGAGTACTGCGCCAACATCCTGCGGGAGGCCAGGGACCTGGCCGCCGCAGGCTTCAGACAGGAGGGCCGGGACCTCTTCATGGAGCAGGGTGACGGCAGCTTCTTTTGTCTCCATGCAGCATAAACGTAGTACAGACATAGTACAGAATAAAACTGCATCTAGATCGTGCGGTTATAGCTGATTGCGAGAGGAAATGTACTTCAAGACTCTCATACAACATAGCAAGGTCCTTGATCGAACAGAGCGGTAGACGAAGCAGTGAATAATTAAAAAAGCTAGTTTTTATTCCTATTTTCAACACGTCCTATGTATTTCATCAATTTATGTATACGTTGCTGCACTAAAAGTTTTCAAAAAGTACTTTTTTCTACTTTCAGCATTACTTTGCGGCCTTGTCGGTTATCGGGACTTTTTCCGGTCATCATGGTTATCCGCCATCTTGTCCTGGCAATCTCCATCCGGGTGCTTTGGTTACCAGGCAACCATGGAATCTGGCCAAAACAGACGGGTGCGGCGGCGGGAAAAGATTCTGTCAGGTATTTTTAACTTAAGAATGTCCAAAAGAATATATTGAAGAAAACACATGAGAGTAACGTTACATTTTCCTACTAGATGATTATTTTCTTCATGTATTTATGTGAATTTTTGCACCTTTTAAATTATAAGGATTTTTTAGAAAAGTTTATGAAAATAAAATGAACGTTACGGGAATTAAATAAAAACTGGTTAAAATTTTCCATGTTTTAGGGAGATGTCTGTCCCACAAGACCGGTGTTGCTGCCGGCGCCCTGGCAGGGTACGTTCGCTACATACTGGAGTACTACCGGGACCTCTCACAGGAAACCGCGGGAACTCACTGACCAATCAACGCCCTCAGAACGGTTTTGCGGTCCAATTAGCGTTCAATAAAGTAGTCATGGAAGGGCAGTGTTAGATTAACCTTAGATTATCACTTGCTTCTTGTTTTGTGTATAGGAAAAAAGCTATAGATTCTGGAATATATAAAAAAAACAATTGCGTTACCTATTGGTCTAGTCTCGTTTAATTAATTAATTAATATAGCGAATATTTGAATGCAGCAAAAGCTTTTTATTTCGTCTCGCAATTTTTGTCATTGTTGCACTAGTGCCTTTACTGCTATGTATGTCTGACTGCCAATGAAGAACAGGAATGATAAAAGTAGCCTGGTGCCCAGTCTACTGTGGTTGAGGCAGGCTCTCTTCGGGGCTCAACTATTTCCCCACGCAGATCAATTGGGCGCTCGTTATGCCTGAAGGACCTTTGTATGTTAGGAGTTGAAACATTTAAACACTAACGTTACACACAGCAAAAGGAGTTCGCTACTCTGGGGAGCTTTCGAGACGCAATCTGTCTCTTCATCAACCCAGTAAAGTCAGATCTCGTCTTGGAGTTCCTGTGCCACGTGACTTGATGTTGATAATCACGTGACAAGATACAGTCATATAGAGGCCTGAGGTAGTGACGCCCCCTGGGTCTGTTCAAGGTACTGCATTGTCTGCTGATCTGGATCGTCTACCGAACACCCCATACAAACTAAATGCGATGTTTCTGTTCCGCTTTTAGCATTGCTTGACAATTTGAATTGTTGTTTCCATTTTTTTCCTGGTGTAACTTTTCTGCTAACTAATCATACACATGTTGTATAACATTGTTTTATTTTGTTTCAATACCCAGGGCATGGATTTACATTAGTGTTATTACACATATATTATCATTATTCTACTAATTTAATTTTTAAGACGAAGCAAACCTACTATAAGTGTCACGGGAGGACAGACGATAAAAAAGACTATACATGTTGTACAAAATGAACTGACTACAAAATAAACTGGTGGAATCGTACCAGCTCCTGAGTACATATTACCAGCCCAGAAAAGAACAAGCTAGTTTTGTTTTTGAAGGACCCAGATGACCTTTGGTCACGTGTCGTACTTGACAAACATGGCGACCACGATGCAGCCCAGGCAGCCCAGCACGCATGCGCAGACAGGCACGGCCACCACGCTGCCTAGCGCGCTGACGACCACGCCTAGCAACGCCCCGACTACGATCTGCGCCAGCTGGATCATTGACGTCACTATGGCAACGTCGATCCCCATGCCCCGGGTCCGATCCACACCTCCATTTGCATTCTGGAAATATTTGCCATTTATATAAAAAAAATTAATTCAGTCATTACACAAAGAATTTAAAGGAAATGAAACCTAAGCAAAAGATATGATACGATACGATGGCATGTGACGCATGATGGCATGATGGATCGCAAGCTGAGAAAAATAAGATCACTAACCTGCCTGGCCTGCGCGTACTGTGAGACGAGTGTGTAAGGTATGGTGCAGAGTGTAGCGTACATGATACCCAGCACTGCACAGAGGGGCAGCGTGGCGTGGTGGCTAGGTACCCTGCCGGGTAAAATCGCCATGATGCCCACCCCCGCAGAGAAAATGAGGTAACCCAAGAGGTAGATAGTGCGCAGGCTCAGGAATTGGGTAAGATGACGGAGGGCAACTGGAAAGGGACATACACAATGGGACTGTAGGTGACCACTTCTTTCACTACGATAGTCACAGAAGTGTTGGCTGCTATTCCACGTACCATATGCTCGTATAAAACTCAACAAAGTAGAACAAGTTTCTTAATAGGTTTTTGATCAGATGAGAGATGCATCTGTCTGGGGACTATCCATATAGATGATAAACATGGATAAGACTGCCTACCTGAGTAGAGTGCGCATGACAGCGCGTTGATAGCCAGTCCCCAGCTTCCCATCTCAACCCCTTCCTCGTACCGGCGGTAAGATCGGCTGGGGCAGGAAATAACATTGAAATAATACAACAGATAGATTCAATATATATTACACACACGCGCGTGCACACACATACATACATACATACAAAAATACGCAACTTAAATGTCTGCTTTTGGTGGGCAAACACTAAAAAATTCAGTTACCTGCCCCTATCTGCATGTGGGTTCCCATGGTACACCGCGCGGCCCATGAAGTCAGTGTAGAACAGTACAATACTGAGGAACGCCATCCAGCCTAACAGATGCGCCACGCACAGGCGCACCAGCTCCCCGGGCATGCGCAAGACGTTTTGAATTAGCGTTGCCATGGTGAGTTTCCCGGGCAACCCCGTGGACCGTCCCGTCTCCTGTGAGGAAATTTCCTCCAGGGCTTCGTCCACGTCCAGCAGGTTTTCACTGGAACCCATGGAGGAGGAAGTCTCGAGGAGAGATTGTTCTACGTCTTGGGACGAGTCGTTGACCGGTGTATCGTATGGCTTGTTGCCGGTGGGCAAAGCGTTAAGAATGGGGTAGGTTAGGTCAGGCAAGGGGGTATGACCTGCACGCGACACCTGATCCAAGATGGCGAAGGTGATCCCGCCGTCTGTGCCCGTCCTGACGTCATGTGTCGGCCGGCTCATTGTCGTGTGGTGCGTCGAGCCGTACCCGCGGACGTACCTGGGCTCGATCACGACTTCTCCATTACTCTCGTACCCAAGAATGAGCGTGACCACGCCTCCGCGTTTTGTTCTCGTTCCCGACTTCTGTGGAACACTCTCTCTACCCGTTTTGCCTCCGGCTTCTCGTGATGTTTCGGCTGCCGTCGGGTGTTTCCGGACGGTGTCTTCGGGAATGCTTGACAGGTTCATAAGAGCGGTTATTACAAAGGAAGTGGCGGCGAAAACGAAGATGACGTGGTACTCGGAGCCCAGCATTCGTCCCAAGAAGGTGTCTTCCCAGTCTATTCCACTGAACGAGTAACCCAGAAAGCCTCCGATTCCTACAAGGAATTTGAAAAGAAAACGAAAGGGAAATGAATCCACTTAGGGATTTAAAAAAAAGAGCCACTCCCCCGAAACACTTGGTAAGAAGAGCCTAACTTTAATTCAACTTCTTTAGCCCCAAATGATTCAAGATGTGCAGAAAGATTCGGTCATTTTGAGCCTCTTCCATGACAATGGAAGCTCTCTTCCATGGCAATGCGTTTAGATGCCATCACAATTGATAACACCAAGGAGGTTATTTCAAAGCACTGTCACAACTCTATGTGGCCTAATTTTGCCGTCTAGACCAAGAATAGAAGGTCAGATCCAAAACCTACCTGCAAAAACTCCTTGCATTTTCAGCCCGTTTTCCCGGTCACGTGGTCCGCAGGTGTCCAGTAGATAGGCTCGGATGGGTGTTTCGATGAAGTCCGCACTGAAGTCGAACAGCACGATGCCCGCCATGGTGACGACGATAGTCCAGGTCGTGTTCTGGGGACAGGTTTCGGGAAGCACAACAGGTTTGAATAGTTACAAGAAGGTAATCTTCAAGCAGATCCTAGAGTGGCAAAAGACAGCATCTAATTGGCCCTTGGATGGCGTATGGACTCTCTGGCGAATAGATACCGCCTTGCCAATTTCAAACTGTCTTTTGCCACCCTATGATCTGCTTAGAGATTAACAAGAACAGAAGGCTGGAGTCTTGCTATTTTGTCTGCACTCTGTCATCTTCCCTCCTGACTTCAATAAAAACCACGCATTGGGACGATTGCAGTATAAACAAAGGTTGAAACAAACAAGAGTGCTACTGACGTTGCGAGGCATGGCGGCGTCCATGATGGCGTCCCCGAACAGGAAGAGCAGGAAGCCGAGCAGGATGGAGGCGGAGAACCCGAGGATGAAGGGCCGGCGGCGGCCCAGGCAGCTCCCGCACCGGTCACTGGGACAACGACATAAAGTCACAAGTTTGAACTGTATTTGCAACACAGATAACTGTTTTTTTCTGACTGTGGAACTCCAGTTTTTGTCTAGAAATGGGCATCGCTCAACAAAGATGGGGGAGGGGGGGGGCATAGACTTTCTGCCGAGAGCCACACCAAGTTAACTTATGGATGTCGTCCTCTGGAGACCCTAAATCTAATGCGAGAGAGCGAAAAAAAAGGACCGAAAGAAACAAGGTCCCTAGATTTGAAATATACTAAGGGACGACAAATATGTTAGGACACAAATTAGTTATCGTGATAACAGCAATAAATCAGTGGAACAGTACTTGTCGTCATGTCCTGTGGATCCTTTAATCACATCTTCCTTAATCCCACTGCCGTGACTCTTTGGCCAGGAAATTAATCGAAATATTTTTCTTCTAACACATGTATCTTCAACGCCAAACGTTTGACAATGGCAGAAATTGCCTACGTATGTATATTCTTCAACTTCTATTGTATAATGCATCCCCCATGTACTATAGTCCGTACCTGTATGACCCGAGTACCGGCTGCAACAGGAAGCCTAGTACGGGACTGATAATCCATACCACCGAGTACAGGTCCTTCGGCAGCCCGATAGTTAGGAGTATCGGAGTTACTAAGGCAGCCTGGTAAAAATGAAAACAAAACGCTTATTTATTTATTTTTGGTATGCATGCATATGGGTGGTCCCTTCAGGCAACTGATTTCCAAGGGAGCACATGAGAACAAAATACATAGGAAGTGATGGACATGAAAATAATGATTAAACACAGGTCAGTAATAAAAACAAAACAATGGCGCTCAGGAGGCATACGTAGCAAATGCGTGCCAGTTAGCACATTTAGAGTGGTCTTTTGCATCCACATAAATGCAGATTACAAATAACTTGATAATGTGTCCTTCGGGCCGAGACCTACATATATAATGCACCCTCCATCCCCCACCTTAAATACGTCTTTATAATATTCGTACCTCTTTTTGTCATATGAGAAACCAACAAACACTCTAACGGCTATTACGTTAGTTTCTACAAATGTATACACGGCATGCACTAACCTCCACGGCGTAGCAGAACTCTCTTCCCAGCATGATGGAACTGTTCAGCAGCAGTTCGCAAGTACTTCTCGTCGGCCAGGGTCCACGACTGCTACCGAGCACTTCCCCTTCATCTCCCGTCCAACAATTGCCCTCGCCACCGGGCCCGTCACCACCATTCCCCGGCCTAACGTCGTCTGATAGGCCGACTGCGTTTTCACCAGGTCTCGGTCGAGCTCCGTCCATGTTACCGACTCCCTGTCGGTCCCTCCATGGCCATGAGTCGGCCCCACCGCCGAGCGTTTCTCTGCCGCTCTCCGCTACAAACCGGACACTGTCCGTGGGTTGCTTCGATAAAGCAGCCGTCATAGAGGCCCAGTCTAGTTCCTCATTTTCTAGGACCGACGCGCCCTGAAGTTTTTCCTCAGAGTTCGCTCGCGCGTGTGTGGGTCCTTCCTTGTACATAAACATGGTCGTGCCGGAAAACTCTGAAAGTTTGAACCTGAGAACTAATATTTCTACACGTTCCACGCGTTTTTTTTCTAGCAGCTATCTTTCCAAAAACTTCTAATTTCAATCTAAGATCTACTCACAATGTTATACTGAACCAACGACAAAACGACACACCACGGTATTTCTAAAAGTCTTCTGTGACAGGGCGTAATTCGCATAAAACCGAATGTCTTTGCACCAAGAAGCGCCACTCGAGTTTGGGTACGCAGTACACAAAGAAAGTCACGGCGAAATCCGGTGCTACGGCGTTCAAACAAACCCCGGAACTTTCCCAGGTTTTCTCCCAGTGCTCGTCACAGTAACTGCCCCAGCCCGGTTCATCTTTGTTTGCACTCCCTTTCTCATCCACCACCGCAGACGACATTTTAGGCAAGCGTGTTTGTCTTTCCCTTGTGTCTTCTGTTGAGTATTGTGTTTCCCAAGAACGCACCCTGCACGAGGAAGTCACCCGTTGTTGGCCAAAACACTAAATTTATCAGCCTTGTTATGAAAGCTTTCCACACTGCTACTGCTCAAAATCAGTTGGTTTCTCTCAACAATTGAGAGAATGGGCTGAATTGAATTAAATCGAACCAAAGGATGCTGAATGGTATCTAGCTACCCTGGTGTTCCAGTTCTTACTGCTAGGAGGCACCCCAGAGCAAATTCCTTGCATAAACTGTGTCAGTGACTTACTGTAGGTCAAGGCGACGGAGTAAATCGTCGCTCGAAGCCAAGAAAATGTCGTCTCGCTCCGCGGAGTCTGTTCATTCCCGTTTGATGAGATTTCCCTTTAATAGTGAGGACGCCTCATCAATCCGGGTGGAGCGAATCCGGCTCACCGGCGGCTGGATGGCGGTGAGGCGGGGTCAGTCACATCTGAGAGCCTGCATGCATTTTTCCATGAGGCGTAGTGAGTTATTTTAGTTCACAGTCACTTGCTGTTCTTTACAATTAGTCTCTGGGCAGGAAATTACAATAGACATTTTATTAAAGAGTTGTTGACTGCAGCGACGGAAAATTGTGCGTGTATGTGATAGCTAATTCCCCTTGAGAAGATTGAACAGGTGATTAA